TTTGTTATGCTACTACTCCAGCATTCGCCTGGTATTGTTTGGAGAAACCACGTAAGAGTACCTATCACTGCAGCAGGGGGCTAGAATACTTCTCCAGCGATTTTTACTCGTTCTGCGCAGCACGATACGTCACGAACCACGTGACCACAGGACGGGCACTGCGTTTGAAAAGCCACCCCATACGCTAACCGTTATTCTGCATGTCAAGGGAGAAGTGTTGAGAAACATTTTAAAGGTGATATGAAGGGACAATTTTTTTAACAGTGACCAACCAACATCACTATACCCAAGAGAGTATAGTTGAAATAAAACATGCCCTATGTTTTTACAAACATGCTTCATATATATATAATGATTTCACGTGAAAGAAGGTGATATTATTTCATCCAATCATTCATTTATTCATTGTTGTCTTTTTACGTCGCGTGACTCAGTAAACGAGGCCTACTCTTCCGTCTTACAACGCAAATTTTCCTACATTCCTTTCACCAACTCGCGGAGGAATAACGTATTACATGGGCGCCGAAACAGACGATCTGAATTTAGCTCAAAGACTTCATTTCAATGTATCTTTTACATGCAGTAAATCTGCTGCATAGAACAGCCGTCTTTTCTTCCCGTCCGAAGGGAGGACTAAAAATCGTCCTAAAAAACTTTTTCGTCCTAAAAATCCACGTCATCGACCGGGTTTGAACTCGTGAACTTGCGCATAACAGCGCGATGCGTTAACCGTTACACTATCGACGCCGCCAATCTGTTACGTGTGCATATAAAATTGGCGCCAAAACTGAGACGCGAATTGATGCGCGAAGCTCATTGGCCGAAGCCGGATAGGCCCGCGCAACAGCTCACCCGTGTCTCTGCATCGCGGGCAGGCGTACCTCAAGGGCGAGGGGCGTGGCGAAGCGCAGGGCGGTGGGCAGCTGGCGCTCTCCGGACAGCAACAGCGCATGCGCGGCGACGCTCGGCAGCCCCGACAGCAGCAGCGCCCCCGACAGCAGCAGCGACGCCTGCGCGACAGCAGGCAGGAAAAAATTAGCGCAGCTACAATGAACGCGCTGATTGTACTCCTGCTTATTATGTTACGTCTGCGCACAAGCAGTTTCAATAAACGCGGTCAGCGGCGGCCACACGCCCAACGCACGGCACACGAGCGTTGCGTGGCCTGTCACACGTGCGTCGCGTTAACGCGCGTAGTTCATTAACATTGTAACTTATACGGAACGGCACACGAGCCCTCACGGAGACGTGCGTTGTTGCCAATGCGCTTGGCCAGCGGGCGACGCGCGGTGAAAGCCAGAAAACGCGATTTATCTTGACGTCCGTTGTAGCTTGTAGGCAGTAATGTTTCGTCACTTATGACAATATCAACGCGCGTAGAACGGACGTTGGAATCTTGGGAGCCTTACTTCAGTGGAATGTAATATTTTATTTCTTCTTACCTCCATTATGATACATTAAACTACCTTTTTTTTTCTTAGAAATGGATGTAGATGCTGAAAGTTTAGTTTGCCATCTGTCAGTTCAGTTTGCGTGTGCTGTAATGAAAAATATAAACTTGAACGAAAGAATAGTAGATAGAAAATACAAATTTATAATGAAGAACATGTAAAAACTGCTACTCAACGGAAACTGCACGGAACTTTCAACTCCAAGGAAAATGCAGCTGACTAAAATTTTATGAAAAAACGTAAAACGCCTATGTATTTTAACAAAATATATACAAATTATCTGGCAGGAATAATTTTAACTTTAAGTATTGATATGCATAGTAAAATAATGAAGCAACGCTCACTAAAAAGAAGTAAAACAACTTAACAATGACTAAAAAAATCGTAACCTCGCAAATGAACGCTCTAACCTCAATATCGCACTACCCTCTCAACCCCACTTCGGACCAGTGTTGGGCGTTGGTCGCGCTCGATTAGCAGGGAACCGCCATTTGCTGCGGTTTCATTGGTCGAGAGGCTTTTCATTCCGGGGACGGTATAAATGTAGACTTTCCGTTCTCCTTCCCGTCGAGTTGTGAGTGCCTGCCTAAGATGTCCGTCGTTCATCTTCCCTTACGTTTCCGTCCGCGTTGCCTTTCCCGATCACGTGATCTCGTGGAGCGGCCGTTACGTCGATTCGTCGCACTCATCGCGTACGAGAACCACCCGCGCTCACTTCCCACCAACACGCTCATCACGCGCCCACACACGCTCATGACGGACGATCATGGTACGTGCCCCCATACTCACCGCTCACGCTCATTACTCACGCCTATGCTCACCAGCTTCACTCACTCTCTCGCTCACCACACATCCACACACTCAAAAACCCGGAGAGGCGCAGGGAAAAGGCCTAATGCAAATGAAGCGCATACGAGAATCGCAGCATGCCAAAATCGTACGTTACGGTACAACACCTCAAAGTTATTTTTCTTAAAAGAGCGAAATGAATTGCTTCGAGTTTCTACGTAATTTATTGTTTTAGTAATTTCGCCTTGCAAAAGCATCAAATAATCATTTATTTGCTTTAGTTTTTAGTTTATTAAAATGGAATGTTTATGTTATTTTAGAAAGTATTAGGATCGTTTGAGTTACAACACGATTGTACAAACTCTCCAGGGAATGTGAGGGCAAAAGTGCATTTTGTGTACCTCTGTTCCGAATACAGTATACGATTTTATTCACAAATGTAACGCTAAAATATAAACAACACTACAGGAAATAAGTTGCAACTTATCCCTTCTACGGTTCGCTGATGACATTTCAGTTGTAACATTGACACGCACAGTTCCGTGCCTTTAAGACCGATTTATTTTCAGAATCCTGGCCATTGTCGGACATTTTGAAATTTTTTATGATAAATTAGAGATATGTGTATGAAATTCATGACAAATAAAACTTTCAAACTTACTTAACAAGGAAAAAATATTGATTAGATATGTTCAACACTATTTATTTTAATACATATCTTTGTCCGAAAGAACGTAACATACTAAATAAAATATTGAAACACGTGAAGTATTGCACAGAAAGTAATGCTTGTAAGCATAAAAAAACATAAGAAACTTCAATGCTTTTCGCAGCACATTGTTTAAATGTGATATCCGAGGTTTACTCGTAGGTTTCGTCCACCAGAATTAAAACGGTAGCCACCACCCCCCAAAAAATTGCCATGACCCAGCCACGTTCGGACATAGGAGTGAATTCATAAACAGCTAATTCATAAAACAAAATGCCGATCTCTTCCCATATTTCGGAGCTACAAACTTGCTTCTCTCAAAATAGTTATTTTTTGAACATTTCATATTAAAAACCATGATTATCGTGATTGTTTTAATTGCAACTGAATTCCAAAAAAAGCGACGAGCCGTTTTCTTCCGCTGACGAGCATTGGGAGAGAAATGAGAGAGAGAGGAGGGAGTGTGTGGGAGAGAGTGAGTGAGTGTGTGTGTGCGTATGTGTGTGTGTGTGTGTGGGAGAGAGAGAGTGTATGTGAGTGTGTGTCTGAGAGAAATGGAGGGAGAGAGGGGGAGAGAGGGGGATAAGGGGAGAGAGAAGGAGAGGGGGAGAGAGGGAGGGAGGGAGAAAAGGAAGAGAGAAGGACAGAGGGAGAGAGCGTGTGTGGTGTGTGTGTGTGTGTGTGTGTTAAGAGCAAGGATACTCACCCGGTGCAACTGCTGTTCC